CCCCCCCCCCCCTTCCCTCGCTCCCTACGACGGATCGATGGTCGTCGAGCACCTTAGTTCGTGATTCTCCTAGATTCGGATCAATACCTACTTTAGCATTGCAATAAAATGGTTGGACAGCGCGTTATGATAGCCCAGTTGCTGTCTCTCTCCCTCTTATCCTCTTATCGAGTACCTTATCGAGAAAGCTATTTTGCCGGCACTAAATTTATTTGCGATTTCGCCCGGCGTGAGACGCGTATATTATCGACGACGACGGAAACGTAGCGTCGACGAGGTTAATGGTGGGGTAAAGCGTGTACGAAAATTAATTCGATATTTCTGATGATCGCGAATGATAATCCCTCATTGGAATAATCGCGCTTTAATGCAATATCGGTGTAATTGATTATAGCGTCGCGAAACGAGGCAGCGCGAGGGGCGACGGCCCGTACTACCGGCTCTCTCTCTCTCTCCCTTTCTCTCTCTGATTTCTTCATCTAGCGCTTTCGATAACGATGGTTAGAATAAATAGACCCGTCAATTTACATAGTCGTTAACGAGCATGCCTGGCGAGCCCTTATCGGTTCCGTAGCTCCTAAACCTCCTGACCTAGCCAACGCGTTCCACGTTAACCCCTACATTCTCCTTTACCGTACCGCCTCGACAAACGCGATGGCTTCCCCGCAATACACTACTCTGAATCCTTATCCACGGAACAGAACGCTTATTAAAGATCGATCGAGAACCCGGCGACGGTCCTTTATCCGCGTTATCGCATCGGATATAACTTGGAAATCCAGAAACGCTTGGCGCGCTCGCCACATACATAATTTATTTGCCCGGAGAACCGCGCAGCGTACGGACGCCTTGTAGTAAAACGACACGTACTTTTTATAGCGACTTCAATTTGATTGATTCGATTGAATGGCAAATATTTATCTGTTAGAACATGGACGTGTAACGTGCAAAATTAAAATCTTCCTTTTTGGATGCCGGATTAATTAACAATGGAATACGGATCGGGAAAAATTGTGATTTTATTTGTACAATTTTATTCTCGCGTATATCTTATATGCGATACACACGTCACGAAAATGTATAGATACTTCTTAAAATTTCCTTCATTGGAAATTCGGATCACCGACGAAAAGAATGTTATCCTAAGCAATCAAACGGATCACATTGTACCCAGTCCTCTTCTTTTCTGAGAGCCAAAAGAGCTTGGGGCGGATCTACGGAACTATCCCTCGGCAAAGGCGGGCTGGTAACGACTATGCAAATTTCATTTGGCCCGGCACAATTCTTCACACACGGAAGATTAAGACATTAGACTACGAGGGAAAAGAAGGGGCGGGAGGGAGGGAGGGAGGGCGGGGAAGCACGTCCTAAACTGAAGAGTGAATATAAACGACGACGAGGGAGTGTAAAAGAGGAATCTTGCCACCGGGAGGAGGGTGGAAGGTACAACGTTCTTCCTGCAGTCTCAATTATTTCATGTACTGAGCTATTAATCACTTTGTGTGTGCAAACCTAAAACGGCGATGCTAATATTTAAGTTGCGCATGAAAATTCGGCCGTTCGCGTGCATCGTATAAAATAATTTCGGTAGGTTAGCGGTTATCACGTTTAAGGTCTAACCATCGTACGAATATAGCCGTTGTTCGTGCGGCGCAGCGACGGGAATATTTGTTGGTTTTGCACAAAAACGCGATAGCATCGTATTTCTAAAATACAAATTACAGCAAACACTATTTGGTACTTAAAAAAAAAGCGTACTGCACGTGGAAAAGTTTAGTACATATTTTAATCCGTACACAACGCTGGCTTATGTTGTGCACGGTGATAGCGGCGAAAAAGTTTCTTCTGTCACGCTTCAAATTGCGGCATATGTAAAAACATTTTATATATAACTGTTAATCGTTCGCAAAATATATACGGCATCGCTCGGCACAGATTCTTAAATCTTTAACTGAGAGATGAGTTTTAATTTTAATTTTTGGGAAACATTACCCGGCTTTGGCAACCCGCCGCTTACTTAACTAAAAATCACCACGGAAAGATGATCTCAAAGAGAAGTGGCCCCGGGATATGCATGTATATTTATTTTATATATATATAAAATATTATACATAAAATATATAAATTATTTTTATTTTGATAGGCTTGTAAATACAGATACAATAACATCTTTCGTTGTGAAGAATGAAAAAACATTAAACGTCAAGGCAATGAAAAGCAGACTT